GGTAGGAGCGGGATGACGCTCCATGCTCTGACAAAACAGCAGTTGAGAGACAGACTCACCCAACTTGTTTCTGAAGTCTTCTTTTATAGGGATTGGCATCCTTTGTTTCAGCACTTTGGGGGTTTTCCATACCCAGCTTCTGCTTTTGTGGTTGTTCTTCATTTGTCTTCAGCTTATCTCAGCCCAAGGTCAGTTTGGTCATCAAAGTTGGTATCTCAGCCTTGGAGTGTCCTTGCTGCCCATCTGGCAGGATGGGTGCATTCCTCCTCCTTGTTATCTTGTTTGTGCCCTAGGCCTAAAAGGGATTCTTCAGCCATTCATTAATTAGTTTACTGACTGGTAACTTACATTTGGTGTCTTGTTGCTTACATAAACAGTTAATCTTTTCAGTTCAATCTTTTCTCCCATCTCTATGCCATTCTCTCACCATTCATATACACTCATTCAAAAAAGGGCATACAGAGTTCATTCACTTATGTCAAGCAAAAGAATAGAAAATGGAGTTTTCAAGTTACTTACAAGGACAAAACTAACATGGTTACATTTCACTACTATTACACTTTATGTTAACATCAGCTACATTAGTTCAGTTCATGCTACTCAGAGCAGGATGGTGCATGGTCCTGCTCTTGATGGCTAGAAAATAATATTTAGAGGTTTTCTTTTGGGAATTGGCTTGTAGGTAAAGTAGATATGGTCCAGGGGAATGGCAAGGGTTAACTGGTTTCTAAAAACATGTTTGTGACAAAATTCCTTCAAGGCCCAGTGTGTCTGAAGCCAGCAGATACACAGGATGGGAAATTGAAGACATGTACCACACTGTTCCATAACATAAACAGTGTATCCAAACAGAGATAAGGAATTCTGCAGCATTGGCACCAGGTCACAGTTCCCAACTGCAGAGCCCTTGGGATTTCTGGCTTTGGACAGAACAAATTAGGAGACTGGTAAATAACCAAATTAAGCTGTGTGCATGTGATGGGTTTGGGGAACAAAGTAATATGCTGACAGGACAGAATATGCCCAGTATGATGACCACAGGGAAACCAATCAACAATGCCCAGGAATGAAGAGTCATAAGAGGGGAGAAAGAATACAAAAGGAGGGATTTCAGATCAGCAAAGGGTCCCTGAGAGGGGAATTTGAGGCCCCCGTGGACAGAGGGCTCACCACCAGTCCGTCTCACCCACTTGACTGATAGGTGGTGGGCCTCAGCTCTTGACATCTAACATTCAAGAGGGAACCACAGGGTGAAGTGCGTGTACTGGCCAGATATAACTTCCTTCTGTGACAGTCCTAGGACTGGTAGATATAGAATTGGGGTGGTTATTTTTTTTGCCTTTCCTGCATTATTCTTATCTGCTATCACTATGTATCAATAAAATTTGCCTATTATCAAATGGAGAAGTCATGGTCTGTCTGAGGTTTTGGGTCCACCTGGAACAAGAAGAATTAATATCATTAAGGTATCTGGGTCATAAAACCATTGCCAACATTCTATCCTGCCACTTCCTTCCAAGAAACCATCTTGAGCCATGCAACACACTCCCGCTCTGAGCCTCCCTTGTTTACAGCACTTCAGCTTGAGCTGTAAAGAATGGGGAGCTAGAGCCATCCCTGGTCCCTGCCAGGCCAGGGACACAGCTGGAGCCCCTCCCACCCCACCCCTAGGGCTGGCTTGGAGATTGGGAGCTCACCAAGGTGAGGAAGGGGGCACTGCCCTTACCTAGCAGGACATACAGTGCCAGCAGCAACAGCTCCTGCAGAGAGCACAGCCTGCTGTGCCTCATGTCCACTAGTCCCTGTCACAGCCTCTCCTCTCTGGGTGCCTTCATTGCTGCTACCCTGAGCTCCAAGCTCCCAGCCCAGAGGAGGAGAACCTAGCTCTGCTTCCAGTTGCCCTGCCTCCAATCGCCCTCCTCTCATTCCTCCCAGCCCCAAACAGCTCATTGCAGGCTGGAAATCTGCCAGCCTGCAAGGTAAAACTCATGTTTTCCTGCTTCAAAAGGGAAAATCTGTGGTTTTTTCCTTCAATGAGAGAAAATCCACATTTTTCTGCATTTTCTGCAGAAAATGGAAAACCCATATCCCTGTTTATGAGTTAGGTAACAATCCCACAAACTTCCTTAGTTTCCCTCTTAATACAGAGCAAGCACACATTTTACAGAGGTAATTTATGGAAGAAAAGAGACGGCAAGATAAAAAGTTCTAACGAAGCTCACATACATTTTGGGCTTGTCAATACTGCCTTCGTAGCAAACCCAAGAGCACTGCTATGAAGTATGCTGCACCCTCTCAGATCCTCTCTGTATGGGCCAAACACTGGACATGGCCATCCTGAGGATACACCAATAATAATATCTGAGAAATAGCAGATCTGGCCCACTGTAAAGCAACTATATTGTAGAAGTGTGCAAAACTTCGGTCTGTGATTTCATTCGGAGAAGATGTGGCCCAATTTAGAGGCCAAATCACTGAATCTGAGTTGAATTGGGAGAAGAAAAAAAAACTCTCCGAATCAATTTGGAGCCTCCAAATTGATTTGGAAAAGATTCTGAGATTCAGAGATTTGGAAGGCAGTCTGTCAGAGGAACAGAAACTGAGAAGAGGGAGGGGGAGCAGGGGACGACAGACTGACATCTGTAGCTGGCCAGTGACTGTGATCTTTCCCTGAGTCCCCTTCCAATCACAGTGTTCTGGGTGAGGGACTTAGAAACAGCATATAAGCCTCTGTCTGCAGGCTTTCTGTGCCTTTTGTGAGCTGTTTCTGCCTGAGTAACAGCATCTGAAAGGTACTGGACTGGCTTGGCTTCCTACATAGTAAGTCTCCTGCTACTTTCTGTTCTTGGAAAGGATTGGATATAGCTTACTAACTAGAATTCCTCTACTTATCCCTATCCAATCCATTTCTTTCAATTTATATTTGTTCTTGTTTGTTTTTTTCCCCACACTTCTTAAAAAGAAAGCTGAGTTTTCCCTGGAAGTGAAACCCCTGCACCTATCTGCTTGAAACTTGGCAGGCCCCATGCCCTTAAAAGGGGCTACCACCCCTGTTGTTTTCATTCAAATCTGCCTTAACACCCATGACATGAGTTTAGCTTTCAGCTGTTTGAGGTAAAGTTTCCCAGAAACCCCATCATTTATCTCCTTGAAATTTGGCATGCTTCATGCCCCCAGAGTGAGCTACCATCCCTGCAATTTTTATCTGAATCAGCCAAAAAATGACAACGTTATAGGTATTTCAGTGATTCCTATTATAGTCTATGGCTGCATTTCCAAATCTCTCCGAATCAGCACTGAATTTTATGAAGCTGATTCAGCCAAATTGATTTGGGACTGTGATCCGAATCTCCAAATCAAATCATGGTCCTCCAAATCAGCTGAATCTGAATCAAATATTTCCCTATTCGCAGAGGCCTACTATATTACCACTATTGAATTTTATAACATTATTTAAAGATTTCTTGTTTGAGTTGTTTTATTCTGATGTTAATTTAAATTTTAAAATTCACTAAAATTGAGAACAGGGTGTAATAATGATGTTACATTAGTACTGCTTAAATATTTTTTATACGAGTGTATCTATCAATGAAACATAGTATATTTGTTTCCTCATAAGATAATTATTAATCTGATCCAGCCCTGATTGTGATATTTTTCTTTTCCCTTCACCAGGATTACACCTTAACTATGTATTTTCAACAATATTGGAGAGATAAGAGACTAGCTTATGCTGGAATACCTCTCAATCTTACCCTTGATAATAGAGTGGCTGATCAACTCTGGGTGCCTGACACTTACTTTTTAAATGACAAGAAGTCATTTGTGCATGGAGTTACAGTGAAAAATCGAATGATCCGCCTTCATCCAGATGGAACAGTGCTTTATGGCCTCAGGTCTGTACTTTATGATAAAGATTTCATAAGCATTGTTTTGTATTGTTGCTATTTATTTCTTGGTACAAGGTTATTACAAACTCTGTGTAGCATATTATGCAACCTTCAGTTTCAATCAGAAAGATGCCTGTAGAAAATAAATGACACACTCAATGTTTCTTAATTTTGCCAGGAGTGTCTTCAGTCAGCTCGTATCTGTTTATGTCTAGTAACCATATCTGGAAAGGCCTGTGGTTACAAACATTAATTGCAAACCTGAACATCCATTTAAAAAACATGGACAGGGAGGTGTTATCTCCTCTGTTGATATCCAGGACTCTGTAACAGGAAAAAAAAAATCCTGGAACACTAGAACCAAATGCACTTAAAACATAAATGCATACATCTTCTAATTTTTTTCTAGGAGGACCCAATGCTGAGCTCTACTGAGACCACTTTAATTTTTATTCTGAAAGTGTAAATGGCCCTTAAAATACACTGCGTTCTATACACTTTATAGCTTTGCTGGAATAGCTATGTCAATTAGGAGTATGAAGAAACCCCCTTAACAGACCAAATTAGGCACTGTTATAATGGTAAAAAATGTGCTTTTCCTAGTACACCTTATTCTGTTCAGGCTGGTCTAGCAAAGAACAGTATTGCTAGTAGGAACTGCATCTACTGTATGGGACATTCCCACTAGTTCTACCAGCATAGCCACATCAATGAAAAAGTTTAAGGGTAAAAAAGATTCAAGCCCCTGTGTATTGTTAGACCAGTATAAAGGGGTCTAAGCACAAATTAGAATCAAACCCAAACAGTTTAAGAGAAATTTAAGAGAATGTAGAATTCTTTTTAGAAACTGGAATGGGATGGAGTCAAGTCAAGTCAGTCCTGAGGCCTCTGTGACTATTGGAGCCCCTTAGGTGCTATTAAAACCCTCCTAGATTAGTTGAGTTGCTTTGCATCATTGGTGATTCTTTGGGCAGAGTGACCTGCTGACACCCATCTCCTCTGCAGGTATGGATGGCCATTGGCGCACAAGGACCTCATCCACCCTTTGACAGGTCCTGTTTTTAGCCCTGCTGGGTATCCAGTTACCCTCCTCTGGGCTAGCCCAGGTAGGGGCACCAGTTTAGTTGCTCACAGCCCAACTATGGAACCAGGTTGTACTGGTTAACATGGTACCAGATAGCAGACTAAGACAGTCCTGGCTTAAGAGGCTAGGCCTGACCACAAACAGGATGGAGATAGGGTATATTTCCAGCATCGCCATTTGACTACGATACTCTCTCTCCTGTTTTTATCAGGAGTTTCAGTTTCACTTAACATGGCCTTGACTCCTCACTCCCCTATGATCTATTACATTTTGTGTATTAATTATGATTGGCTGAGTCTTTTTTAGATAAAAATAGGAAGACTCATACTTTTATGAAGGGCTTGAAGAAACTGAGTACATGAATGTTTAGAAAATGATTGTGGTGCAACTGGGTTTGATGAAAGAAGTATTTTCCTTTCATTTAGCTTTGCATGCCAGAAATCAGTGTTTCCACTTTTGATACCTGGCGCCCGCTTTTTTCTGTATTAAAACTGTTGGCACACTTCACTCTTACACCCAAAAAGGTATATACATACGTATTTCAAAACTTATATTCCATTCCCCTGCCAAAGGAAATTATACCAGTGCTGAAATCTACTGTAAAAAATAACACTAAATACATCTTTCTTTAAGCAAAGATTAGTCTCTGTGGGCATTTTTACACATGTATGCATTGGAGCACCAGGCACTTTGAAAAGCTCCCAGCGCTGCAATGCATGCAGTTGTATAAGCAGCAAAATGCACATCAGTGCTGAGAAAATAGCGGCAAGGTGCTTATGAACTAAAACACCTCAGAGGTGCTTTAGTTCAAAATCTCACCAGCACCATTTTCTGCATGCTAATGCATATTTCAACACTTATACAACTGCACGTGGCATGATGTCATTCACCTTAGCTCACACATGGAGCAGACTCAATTAAGCAGTGGATCTCTAGTGCATCACTAGAAAAAAATATGTGTATAAATGCCCTATACCAGTGGTTCTCAGCCTTTTTTAGCATCGGGGCCACAGCTCCATAACTTTTCTGAATCTCACAGTACCCCAGTTAAAAACACTGAGATCTAAATTCAGAAAAGATACGGAGGAGGGCTTTGAGGCTAAAAAAAGTTGAAAATCACTGAAATAACTGGTGCCAGTTAAGGGCATCTGGGGCAGGTCCTCACACTACTGTGCCCTGTTCTTTCTACTGTCTGACCCTTCCCAACCCCCGGTCTTTACGTCAGGGGGGAAGGGCAGCCCCCTGCACGATCTCACACATGGGTGACCAGCCTCTTCTGCCAGCCCTAGGAGCATGGGAGGAGTGGAGGAAATGAGCCAAGCTGCAAAGAATGGCTCTATGTCCACCTGCCCTCCCACTTGCAGCAGAGTGAGCTGCTGGGAGCACTGGTGGTGGGATCAGCACAAGGGCTTTCTAGACTGGGGAAGGGCAGAAAAAGGCAGCAGAAGTGGTAGCAGTCCCCAGAGGCACTGCTGGCCTAGACAAGGAAGGAGAGCATTTACCCACAGGGCAGTCATGCAATAAACTTCCATCCCTCTCACAGCATGCTAGTGTGTCACAACCACCCTCTGGGAATCACTACCATAGAACGTATTGAAAATGGTGAGATGTTTGGTGGTCTTCCTATGAGAATTTCAATATCTACAAAAACCTTAGAAAATATATGTTTTTACATTACTTACAAATATGAGCCAATTAGCTGACTGGCACTCCCGGCTTTAGAGGCACACTGAAGTCAAGGGCTCTGATCAGCTTCTGAGGTTGGGAGTGCCAGTCAGCTGACTGGAGCTGCCAGCCTTGGGAGTGCACCAGAGTTAAGGGCCCTGATGCACTACCGAAGCCAGAAGTGATTGTCCTGGCCACACATTTAATTTAAGGCATGATGGAAATCAGCCACAAATTTATTATGCATATTTTGTGGAATAACTTTTTACTGCCTGTTTTATTGCATCACTAATTGCATAAGTGTGTGGCCAGGTAACTACTTAAGATATGATTAAACTGGTTGAGCATGTCCTAAATGTAATGTCTGCAAGAGCCTCACTCTCTATTTCCTTCATACCAAATATAGACTGCACTACAGCCCAGCTTTTGCAGTATATCTGAGCTTTCAAATAACTGGATGAAGTTAAACTTTACCTGGGGCTGATAAAAAGGGAGTAATATCTGAAGCCTTGACACCGTTGATCAAAGGAAGGCATGTCTATATGTGCATTTATCCAGCTTAAAGTTACTGTGCAGTAAGTGAGAATAGGCTGGCATCTGCATGTATGGGTGTTAAAGCACATTAATGCTGTGTGGACTGACTTGGGAATAAAGTTAGTCCCGAGTCAGTCCATCCACACAGTGTTACTGTACAATAAGGCATCTACACATGCATTACTGTGTAGTAACTAATCCGGCATAAATTTGAAACCTGCATAATACAGGTATCAAATTTTCCTGTAAAATTTATGCCAAGTTGGGGTAAGTTACCATATTTACTGCGCAGTACAGGTGTACATGTATAGATGTGCACCCGTTCTGCACAGTGATTTCAGTTACTGCACAATAAATGTGCATGTGTAGACATACCTGTAATCTATTTTTCAGGTGCTAAGGCAATATGCAGACAGTTGGTTCTTCCAAGTTCTTTGCTGCTTGTAATTACTCAAATGGCATCAGTAGTAAAAACACATTCCTTCTAAATGTCTTCAACCTCTCAGGTGTCTGTGCCTCTTCCTGTTGAATAAGAGCCTATGGGGAAACTGGAGATGTTACAGTAGGTAGTGCTCCATTTTTTGAGCAACTCCGGTTCTCAAAAATGTGTAACTGAAGTGACGCACATGCCCCACTCACTCACTGTTCCCTACTTGACATGACTGAACGCTAATTTTAAAGTGATTGAGCTTTGGTTATCTCAGATTTCTCTGCTGTCTCAAAGACAGTGATTTGCCACAAACACCATGGTTCATAAAGAATGATGTATTTAATAACTCCAAGAATGAGACAGGAACTTTTCAGAACCTGGCCTGTGGTTTTGAAAGTTCCTTCCATCACGTATCGTATTGATGACAGATCTTATTATGTGCTAAAGAAGTAAAACATTTGTGTCTATACAATATTTCCTCAATAATAATGCAGAACAAACCAAATCAAAACAAAAGGCTTTTAGAAAGAGGGGATGGAAAATATGGTCTATTTGATTGTTTGCATGCATACCATAAACAAAATCAGTTTGCCCAAGATGTCATAAGAATGAATGTTATAAACACACAGAAAGAAGAATATTTTTGTGAGTCTCTACTATAATTATTGTAGTTTAATAAGGCACTCAGTCTTGAATGTAATGCTTAATATCGAGCTAGGAAGAGCATTGAAATAACCAATAGCTCCCTCACAGAGAATATTACACAATTTAGATTAATCTCTTTGGGCAGGAACCATTTGATTATCTTGTGTCTGTATTATGACTCCTGGCATGATAAAATTGAGATCCCTAGGTAACAATTTAATATAATAATAAAGTTCAGGAAGAAGTAGCAAGTAAAAAGCTGGATAAGGGGACCTTATGCAAGTGCAAATCTTTCTTTTCTGTATTGCATTCATCTAAAATGATATGAATTTGTGTTCGGCCTGATGTTTATTTGACTCTTTTAACAGTTTCTATGTCAGTGCTCTGATGCTAGGTTATGGGAGCCTTAGCATCCAACTGTGCCAGGCAGTATCTCGTCCATAACAAAATTAATAGAAATGTTTCTTTGTAAGAGCAATATGAGCTTGAAGGAAAGTATTGAAAAATACATCCAGTCATCCAATCCAGTTCTTACTTACTGGTCATAATAAGGTCCAAGACATATGACCCTTGGCTGTAATCTCAACTCTTTGTTCAGAAAGTTATCCTCTGCATACCTAAGAAGTTACTTGGGTGTAGGTTGTATCC